AAGAGCTTCTCCTGGGATCGATCTGGGACTTGCTGCGTCCCTGAGATCCGCGGGGCGCGCCCCTTGCGTTCACCATCTCCACGGGACGGCTTAGGTCCATCGGGACCGTCCGGGGGAGGAGATATCAGCTGCGATTCCGGGAGGCCAGGATTGCCCGCCGTATCGCCGCGACGCCCGCTCCGCCCTCCTGCCTGTAAATTTTAATTACAAATTTTACATCCAGAATATGTATCATGTTGTTGAACTACAGGTAGTCCTCAACTTACGACCACAATAGGGACCAGAAAATTCATCGATAAGCAGTGCGGTCATTAAGCAAGGCATCACATGACCACACCCAATTTTACAATATTTTTGTATCTGTTAAGTGAATCATCACAGTCATTAAGTGAATCACGTGGTTCCCCATTGATTTTGCCTGTCAGAAGCTGGCTGGGAAGGTCATAAATGGTGATCATGTGACTCCAGAGCACTGCAACCATGGTAAATGCATGCTGGTTGCCAAGCACCTGAATTTTGATCATGTAACTCTGGGGAAGCTGCAACAGTTGTAAATGCGAGGACTGCTCATAAGTCATTTTTTCAGCACCATTGTAACTTTGAACAGTCACTAAACGAATGGTTGTAAGTTGAGGACTACTTGTATTTAATCACTCTGTGTTAGAAATTATATTGCTTATGATAGACAACAAGGGTTATTAACATTAGAATTTTGTGAACAAGTTATGGGTATGTTCACAAAATGGCAACCATAATGGAGATGACAAACCATAAAACACTTATTTACCAGGAGGTAAACTCATGACATTAACATCTAGCTATCCAAGCACTTCAATTTCCTTTTCATTTCCTCACTCACCCACCCTGCCCCTGCTTTTCTGGGCAGGTGGGAATCCTTCCAAACAAAACATTGGTACAGCCACTTGCTTTTTAAACTTTTCTAATAATGCCTCTAGGACAACATCATCCACAGCAAACCATGATGACGCCAAAATCATCATGAGATGGGCGGTGACCAAATTTGAAATATAAATAAATAAATATAAAATAGCAGCAGCACACTGTGTTCTTGTTTGGTTCAAGTATGTAAGTCATAGAATTAGCATGATAAACATTGACACATAGGTATCATCATCCCCTTCCCCCAGTGGATGTCCTTTTTATGGGGTCATTTATATGCGCTCAGAGGCATTAGTCTAGTATGGTGCTTGACAAAGCTGCTTTGCTTTTCAATTTACTAACTTTGTTGGGGGGGGGGTTGTTTTGTTTTTGTTTTTTGTTTTTTACTTAAAATATTTTAACATATAATCAAGAGGGGCAAGGAGCCAGGGATCTCCTGAATATAGGTACCATAGAACAGGTCCATATGGATTGTTCAGTACAGAGTGACAATCCAACATTCTGTTTCCAACAATTGTATATTTATTAGCTGATATTTTGTTGTTTGAGTATTTGTTATAGTTCCTTGGGATTTACTGTGGAAATGAAGGGGAACTTGAGAAATTTCCCAGAAAAGGAATCTAATGGCTTTATTCTGTGAAAAGTTCTGAAACTAAAAAAAGGACTGATAGTAATATAAATACTAACATAATACATACTATATATGATTTTAGGAAGAGAGTGCTGCTACATTAATTTTTCCTCCCGTAGAATCAATTACTTCTAAGTAATTGCTTAGACTTCCTTGCACATCTCATGCCCAGAACCAGCCCCACCATTAAATATACTAAGGCAGTCACTTGAGCAGCATCACGCTACTGGAAGAGTGAGCTCTTTTAAACATCACCTGCCTTCTCTCCCGAGGTGAACAAAACAGGAGGCTATCTTGTTCACCTCAGGTAGGAAAAGGAGATAAGCCTGCTGATGCAATGCATTTGCAAGTTGGAAATACACTTAATTCTCACGTTCTTGAAGACCAGAAAAACCCTTAAATATTACCACCTCTCCCCAATAATCAGACTATAGAAATACTAATTATCCAGTAAATACAGAAACCTTGCCTAACGTCTCCCTGCTGTCATGATATCCAAAACTGGATGATAAATATTACCATATGCAAGTGCTATACAGAAAAGTATATTGCCTAAGATCTTAGCTAAGGTTATTCGGAGATTACTGTGTGATTTTTTTCAGTGAGGAAAGGACAATGTCAGTCTATCCTTACAGGTAGTATACCCATGGGTGGAGCTTAGAAGTAGCCTATCTAA